GCCCCCCACAGTGGTCCAGGGGGGACGTGTCCCCCCGACGGTGGCAGGGGAAGTGCTGGTGTCCCTGTGCCAGCCCCACTCACCCCGGACATGGTCGGCTGTCAGCGCATCAGGCACTGCCTGTCCTCTCCTGCTGCCACCTGCAAAGAAGAAACCAAAGGGGGCTGTGGAGGGATGGGGCTCAGCTGGCCCGTCCCAGGCCACCACTGCTGTCCCCACGGGCTCCTCTGGCCAACACAGCTCCTGCAAACCCACCTGTCACCTCGGGCAGCCCAGCACTGCAGCAGGGAGAAAAAGGCTTAGAAGAGGCTGCAGACCTTGCCCACACAGGCTGCACCTCAGGGAAATTCCCATCACAAACCCGGGTGGGAGCAGGACCCAGCTCTCCCAGCCCCTGCCCCTTCTCCCTGCCTTGGAGTCCACAGATGGGCTCCACTGCCCACTGGCACTGCTGGCACGACAGCGGCCCACCGCCGCAGCCACAGGAGAATGTGGTTTTACCAGGAACTTGTTGTTCTCATCTCCTGTTTCAGCAGCTCCGAGTCATCAGGGCCACAAGAGGCACCGGCTGCGGGGCCTCGCTGACGTGGGACACAGCAGGGCTGACGTGGGGGCTGCCCCCCGCAGTGGGACGCTGAAGGGCAAGGCTGGGCTGAGCAGGGTTGTCACATCCGCTGGCTGTGGGATGGTCATGCAAGGTCCCTGTGCTCCCCCTGCCACCAACTTTGTCATGCCAGGATGCATGTGACCACTTTCCAACTCAAACTTGTGGCTCTTCTCCTCCTGCAGCCCTTCATCCTCAGTGTCACGTCCATGGGAAGATCATAGTGTCATAGAATGGTTTGGGTTGGAAGGGGCCTTTAAACATCACCTAGTTCCAACCCCCTGCCATGGGCAGGGTCACCTTCCACTACACCAGGTTGCTCAAAGCCTCATCCAACCTGGCCTTGAACAATCCAGGCGCGGGGCAGCCACAGCTTCTCTGGGCAGCCTGGTCCAGTGCCTCAGCACCCTCATCGTAAAACATTTCTTCCTTATGCCCAAGCTAAATTCACTCTTTCAGTTTAAAACCCCTGCCCTTTGTCCTGTCTCTATACGCCTTGGTAAAAAGTCTTTCTCCATCTTTCTTGTAAGCCCCCTTTACATATTGAAAGGCCACAATAAGGTCTCCCCGGAGCCTTCTCCAGGTTGAACGACACCAACTCTCTCAGCCTTTCCTCATAGCAGAGGTGCTCCATCTCTCAGACCATTTCTGTGGCCTCCTCTGGACCTGCTCTAACAGGTCCACATCTGTTTTGTGATGGAAGCTCCAAAGCTGGATGCAGTGCTTCTGGTGAGGTCTCGCCAGAGTGGAGTAGAGGGGCAGAATCTCCTCCCTTGACCTGCTGCCCACACTGCTTTGGATGCAACCTTAACAGTTGGCTTTCCAGGCTATGAGTGCACATTGTTGGCTCATGCCCAGTCACCAGGAACTTTGCCTGACTGCCACAACTTCTCAAATGTGATGGTGAGTGGACTTGGCAATGATATCAGCCAACTCCCCCAGGACCCTGGGCTGCATCTTGTTGGATCCTGTAGGCTTACGTACGCTCAGGTTCCTCAGGTGGTCTTGAACCTGATCTCCTACAACAGGAGGGACTTTGTTCCCCCAGTCCCTGCCTTGAGAGACATGGGAAGAGAGATTAACATTGAGAACTGAGCAGGGGGAAATAAAAGTTGAGTACATCAGCCTTCACCATGTTGGTTGTCACCAGCTCTCTGTCTTATTTAAATGGGGGACACATTTTCTTTAATCTTCCTTTTCTGGCCAATGTACCTGTAGAGGCCCTTATTATTCCTTGCATCCCTTTCCAAATTCCACTCCAGCTGTGCCTTAGCTTTCCTGATCCCATCCCTACACATCCAGGCAGCATCCCTATATCCCTCCTAGGACACATGTCTGGTTCCACTGCCTGTGTGTTTCCTTCTTACACTTTGGTTTGACCAGTAGGTCCTTACTGAGCCATGCTGGTTTTCTGCCTTCCTTGCCTGATTTTTTTTAACATATGGGAATTAAGTGTTCTTGCACTCTAAGAAAAATGTCCTTAAAGAACTATCAGCTCTGTTCAGCTCCTTCATCCCTGAGGGCACTTTCCCAGAGCATTCCATCCAGTAATTCCTTAAACAACTGAAACTGTGGATGGCGGGACTCAGTGGACAAATCCTCTCCTGCTGCCTTAGGAGCACAGAGGGCTGGAGGGGACACAGTGCACCCGCTGGGGTGTTGACACCAAGCCTGTGCCCTTGGTGGCACTGCCTGGGCTGCCGTGCGTCCCTATACCATGGCGTGATCCTCAAACACACCAAGGTCTTGAAAGACAACTCATGGTTTCTGCAAGTTTTGTTCTGATTTCAGCATCCTTCCTCCAGATCCATTTTGCAGTTGAAATTTCTCTCTGTCACTGCACGCCAGATGCCTTCTTTCCTTTTCCAAAGGAAGGTGGGATATCTCAGTGCTCACAGCTCACACTCTTCAGCTCTGCTAAAGACGCCATCCGATGAGACCCACGTCCCACGTGGGCGAAGCTGTTTCATGCCCACTTCGCTCCTTTGTACCAGAGAACTAGATAGTGTGGAAGCTATGCCAGCAGCTCGGTGCTTTTCTCTGTTTCCAAGAAGACCTCAAAACAGCCAGGGAAGCATCAACTTCCAGAGAACAGAAACATCTGAGGAACGGCGAGAAGTGATTTCATTCATATACTGATTTTCTTGGTGCTCCGTGAACACGAGGGCAGGGCGATGTGGGGCTGGGACCCAGCACTGACTGTGCCGCTCTTGGGAAACCCGACCGTTGGCCTCTTGGAAACTTCTAGCTGGAGCAGGATGATGTTTCCCCAGCTCTGCTGGGCTGGGAGAGGTGTGGGGGCTCACTCAGCTCCTTGGAGCAGAGATGACAGTCTTTGCTCTATTCCTCTTTTGGAGTGTGAGTCATGGTCACTCCTCTGCATCACCGGTGGTAAACTCTAGCCTGTCTCCATGATGGCAAGGATCCAAGGACTTATCATGCCAGTCCCTATCCAGAACAACAAAAATAGGAAAACTGCAGCTGTCACAAGGTTGATATTAGCAGGCAGGAGTTTTACCTGTTCCAGAGGCCATTGTTAGCACAGACATCCTCCTGTCCTGCAGCTCATCCATGCCAGGCATATTATCTTGGTCGCCCTACAGGTGCAAAGGCAGCTGCTCTGGGCAGGCACAGCCAAAGTCTGATGTGACTGGATGCAGCTCAGCTCACGTCCAGGATGGGTGAGGACCTCATGGGCACAAAGCTTAAGGACAGGGTCCACTCCATACCCCTCGCCATGGTACAGCCTGGTATGAGGAAGGACATGCTGGCTGAGCCCAGAGGATGATAGCAGCTCCGACATCTGGTCCTTCGTTTTCTGCTGCTCCAGGACAGTCATTTTGGGTGAAAAGTAGCAACTGTTTGCTCAGTCCTGCCCCTGTGTGCAGACAGTGGGTGGTTCTTGGAAGGAACAGATCCTTCACTCTGATTGCCCAAGGGCCTGGCTTCTCTTCTGCCCAGCTGGCACTGGGCACCCTCACACGGATACCTGCCACTGGCAGAGCCTGGAGACTGGCCAAGGCCTCCCCCCAGCCCCAGCAACAGCAATGAATCACCTTCCTCCTGGTGCCACTCACACACCATGTCCTGAAGCAACTATTTGTTCTTGGAGATGTTTTGTCCATGCAGTTCCTGTCACTGCAACAAACGTTCCCACAAGGAGGATGCATGGGCAGAATGCCTGGGACAAGATACTTGTCCCCCTCTTTGTTTTGGAGCTGTTCTATACTTTTTTTTCAATCAGTTAACCTAAGTATTTGCAATGAGGATGAGAAGTACAGAACCGCGGTGGGGTTTGGTGGAGCCAGCCCAACCCTGAACTGTTCAGCCTTGTTTCCAGTGCACGGAGTTACTCCAACCGAGGAGCTGCCGGGACTCAACGGCACGGCAGCAGAAGAGGGGAAACGTGCATCGGCAGATTGCACCTCTGCACGGAAACCGGAGCTGGATGCACGGCACGCACACCTTTGAAACACGAGCTGGAGAACGTTTTTACAAACACCCGGCCACGCTAAGGGTCACTTGGACAAACGGCAAGTCCAGTGCTCTTGCTGAAAAACCGGTGACACCTGGCCACTCTCCTCACTGACCACAATGCTCTTAACGCTCCAACACCCAGTCCGTCCCTCTCCACTGATGGAGCAGACACGACGACACGTCACCTGCTCTCAGCAACTCCAACAGACCCTTGCACTTACCTCCCAGCAACGTCCATGCAGGGCCCTGGGGACAATGGTGTCTCGAGGTAGCTCACAGCTACACCTGGACTCAGATTCTTGAATTCCTGGAGAGTAAATTCTCTTTCATATGGAGCAGCAAAGCTTTATTTTCAAGGGCAGGCTCGCAGAAAGAGCTTCTGCGTTATTTCCTGATTTCTCTCCTGGTAAGGGCTGCCGATGCAGCGTCCCAGAGGTCCTAGTGCCTGCCGCCGCACCGTCAAACATTAATCAGAGATGACTCATTATTTGACAACACTTAAACCAACTTTTACCCTCTGAGGACACAAGTACACACCCTCACTAGAAACGAACCGGAGATCGTCAGACCCTGTATCCCGCAGCACTCGCAGAAAATTAAAGACCCACTATGCAAATAGGGAGATTTGTTGTTACCATCTCGATTGCCGTGGTCAGAGCAGGTACCTGAGGAGCGGAGACCCGTGGTGGCAGCAGCTCCTCAGGGAGACTGAGATTCAGGAGAGGATGCAGTGGGACCAGGGATCCTGAAGTCTAATCCTGCCTCAGCATCGACGTCTGTGAGACTTAGGGAAGGCTGGTCCAAGAGCAAGGCTGCTCCTTGCTGCTCTACAGGGCATGAAAACACAGCTGCATCCCAGGCTGGAACGGGCAATTGCAGAGAGACCTTTAAACGAACACCACTGTCCAACGGCAGCGGCTTATCTATATCCTCCAGCATCCGCAACTATCGGAGAGGGAATAGTTGCCTCCGCAGTTCATCATCCCAGCCAGAAAACTGGAGTTTTGCACC